TAAGGCCTAATCAGACTCTTGGCCGCGGGATGGTTGACGACGGTACGTCCGAGGAGGGATTCAGATGTCCCTCTACAAGTATCACAGGAATACTCAATCACTACATAAGTGATATGCACCGCTAGTCTAATGGTTAGGATATCTGCCTTCCAAGCAGATGGTCCGGGTTCGATTCTCGGGCGGTGCAGTTCGTATCAACGATAGAAGGGTCTCTAGGCTATCGTGGAACAGTTGTGCTCAGCACGTCAGGGCGATACAGGAGTTTGTACGCATGAGCAGCTTGGCGCAGTGGATAGCGTGTTGGGCTCATAACCCAAAGGTCCCTTGATCGAAACAAGGAGCTGCTACTCATCACAATACACTCGAGATGGTTATTAAACTGAGAGGTGCAGCTTATCGACTGCATAGATCAGTCTTACCGAAAAATCTCCACTAAACAGAGTCGGTGTTTTCGTACCATTCCGTGCGATTGGCCCAACCGTGCCAGTTCAGGGGAAAACAACGTTAATAAAGCGTTGTCCGTGCATAGAAAAGAGCTATTCGCCTAGAGCAGAACTCCTTGCAGGAATGATGAATGACCGCCCGGTACCTCAGAACGCGTTGCGGAGATAAACCAACAGCCCAAATTCACGAGGCGCCGCATGCGGTTTCAAAATGTGCTTTCAAGCAGGAACTTCGATGTCACGAAAAAGTTGTGCAGCTTGTGCCGAGCTAGCTGTAGTATGCGATGAGAACCTTAGTAAGGTTCCCTTACCAGTTGGAGTTATCAATCGAGATAGAATGCGGCCTACCATGTGAGAGATATAGTAGCAGTTTGCGATCTCAGGTACGCGTTAAAGGCCTAATCAGACTCTTGGCCGCGGGATGGTTGACGACGGTACGTCCGAGAAGGGATTCAGATGTCCCTCTACAAGTATCACAGGAATACTCAATCACTACATAAGTGATATGCACCGCTAGTCTAATGGTTAGGATATCTGCTATCCAAGCAGATGGTCCGAGTTCGATTCCCGGGCGTGCAGTTCGTATCAACGAGAGAAGGGTTTCTAGCCTATGTGGAATAGTTATGCTCAGCACGTCAGGGCGATACAGGAGCTTGTACGCATGAGCAGCTTGGCGCAGTGGATAGCGTGTTGGGCTCATAACCCAAAAGTCTCTTGATCGAGACAAGGGGCTGCTACTCATCACAATACACTCGAGGTGGTTATTAAACTGAGAGGTGCAGCTTATCGACTGCATAGATCAGTCTTACCGAAAAATTTCCACTAAACAGGGTCGGTGTTTTCGTACCATTCCATGCAATTGGCCCAACCGTGCCAGTTCAGGGGAAAAACAACGTCAATAAAGCGTTGTCCGTGCATAGAAAAGAGCTATTCACCTAGAGCAGAACTCCTTGCAGGAATGATGAATGACTGTCCGGTACCTCAGAACGCGTTGCGGAGATGAACCAAGAGCCCAAATTCACGAGGCGCCGCATGCGGTTTCAAAATGTGCTTGCAAGCAGGAACTTCGATGCCATGAAAAAGTTGTGCAGCTTGTGCCGAGCTAGCTGTAGTATGCGATGAGAACCTTACCAGTTGGAGTTATCAACCGAGATAGAATGCGGCCTACCATGCGAGAGATAAAGTAGCAGTTCGCGATCTCAGGTACGCGTTTAAGGCCTAATCAGACTCTTGGCCGCGGGATGGTTGACGACGTACGTCCGAGAAGAGATTCAGATGTCCCTCTACAAGTATCACAGGAATACTCAATCACTACGTAAATGATATGCACCGTTAGTCTAATGGTTAGGATATCTGC